AACTTAGTATGAAAAATAGTTTTCCTTGTGTAAATGTGGCATTTCCACTATAAGTGATTTATATAGTGATTTGCATCACATTATCCCTTAAACCGTACAGTTAAGCAGGCAAATTTGCCTGCTAAAATTTTATAAATTCATGTCTGATCTACTTTTATTAAAAATAAAAATAGTTAAATAAAATTTTTTTTAAATAATAATTATAATTATATACTATCTAAAAGTTATTTTTACATCTTTAATATTTATAAAAAATTTGAAGTTACGTATAAAAGAAAACTTTATAATTTTTTTAAAAAAAATTAATTTAAAAAAAAAATTCTTTTTTTTTAATTTTACTTAATAAAAATTTAAGATTCAACCCCTATTACCTTAATAAAAAGTTGTAGAGAATTTAAAATTGGATAACTTTTATTATTATATTTTTTATAAATTATTAAGAAAATTTAAACTTTACTTAGTAGTAACTAAACATTTTTTCTTTAAAAACATATAAAAATTTAAGAGACTTTTTAAAATTTTAATAGTAAAATTAAAAAATTAGATTTATTAAAAATGTAATATCTTTGTCAGAATTAAAGATAAAACAATAAAATTTAAATGCATTATTTATAAAACAGATATCTTTAATTTTTACTAAATAAATAAGAAGGTAAAGCTTAAATAAATTTTAAGAAAATTTTTAAAAACTTGTTAAAAATAATTTAAGCAGGCAAATTTGCCTGCTTTACGGTTTAAGGGATACTATGATCACTCTTCAGGTGATTGGCGGATTATCAATTAAATTATAAAGCTATGTAGATACGTACGTATAGACTTTTACAAAGTATTTTGCCTTTTGCATTTGCATTATTTTATATAGCTACATTATGAATATGTAATGATTGTACAACTTATATAATTTTTTATACAGTGGAATCTAATTCGGGATATTTGCTTAGGCCATAAGAAAAAATTTTAATTGCACTGTAATTAGCAGTTCTCTCTTCAACAATTATTTCACCTCATTTAGTCAGCATCAAAACTCTAACATATAATGTGGCTAAATAGGCTATTGGTGGAATGATTATAGGTGAAGCAAGAAATTAGTATATTCTCATCTACTTTATCTTGTTTCAGATTTAATATTTCTGATACAAATATCATATGAATGCACAAAGAGAAAATAAGAATTCAATTATATAAGTTGAATTCTCATTATTCTTTGGCGTCACTCATATATCTATTAACCAATATTATAATCTAGTTATCCGTATAACCAAGTAGTTATATTTTAAAGTACAACCACTAACTGTATATATCAATTTTTTTTTCTTTTTTTTTAGGTTTCTTTCTAGATTCTCTTACAAAATTTTTCTTCTGGCTTTTTTTCAGGCCTTTTTCTTCCAGAGATTGCTTTGTTTCTATTTCTTACTATTAATTGTTCTGTTTTTTTTTTAGGTAATGACTTAAATGCTTTTTGAAACAAGCGATTTCTACATTCTAGTTGTCACCAAGTGGGTTATAATTTTTATACTCCGAATGTTGTTGGAGTTTCTTGTAGTTGAAATTTTATATCATTGAGATTTTCTGTTATTAGGGTTTCTTGCTATTAGAGTTTTCTTGTGCAAGCAGTGGCTTTTCATCCATTGATCGGTAAGTAGATAGTGATTCATATCTGATAGTCATTTAGTAGGTAGTGATTCTTATATTCTGATTTTGCTTAGGTAGGCAGTAGTTTTTATATTTTGTTTTATATGATTTTTTGTGTTTTGTGTTTTATGCTGTAAGAAATTTACTACTACTCTTTTTTTTTTCAGGAAGTATCATCAATACCCTCATAAAAAAATTTTTGAGAATAGCCAGCATAACTATGAAGATCAAGGGAAAGTCCCAGCATAATGCTAAATATCAAAAAAGTGCTTCGATCTGATTCTTATCACAAATGTGGATCTTTAGAGAAGGCCGAATGTTGTTTTATTAGTTGTGTGAATGTAAGTATTAACTGATGTTCTTTTCTTTTCTTTAGGCAAACGATTCTTATGTGTTGACCTTCAAATTGCATAAATTATCTTTAGTAGTGTACAAAAATTCTCAGTTGGGTTAGAGTTAAAGTAAATTGAAAATTAGAGGTGTTGCTTTGAAAAAGTTCATTATGAAATACTTATATACTATGAGATATTAATTACACAATAATTCTTAAAATGTTATATTATGTAATAATTATTTAAATTTTTATTAATATAAAATTTTATTAAAATTGATCAGTGATTTTATTACAGCTATTTACATAATTCTTGAAACACCTAATAAAAATTGGCCAAATAATTTTCTAGCCAATTCGATTAAGTTTGATTTCTGCATATTAGATTCAATAAAATTCATATATATATGTAATTAATATCAGATAATATTTATCTCTGGTAGAATACAAAAATATGATATTTTCAAAGCATCTTCGCTGGAAAATATTTTTTTAAAAAAAAATTTAGAAGGCCTATCATTCCAAACACTTAGGTTTAGCATATTTTTTATAAGCTGGGTTTTTAAGCATTTTAAAAAATATAGATGTATTGAAAAGTTATTCTGTCATTTTCAGAACCACGTTCACTGAACATGAATGATACAAAATATTTTAAAATTTTAATGAAAAAAAAACAGATTATAATTCGAGATGGAACTCTAGTTAAATGTTGTGGCAATTTGAAGGGCTACGAACCAACCTGTATATACAAATAAAAGTAATATTTATTATATACAGGTTCTTCTTTAAACATGTACTTCGTTTATTTTAAAGTCTAATTAATATATAGTGCATTTTTTATATTTCTTGTTGAGACTTAATTGGTATATTAAACATGTTGGATAAGCATTCGAATGAAAGTTTAATAATGTTGGCATTATTGTTACAACGATTTGTAGAATAGTCATTATGAAACAAAAGTAGTTTTTATTATATGGATCGTGCTGAAATTACAAACTTAATTGAATCAGCTGAAAAATTGGCCAATTTTTATCAGAATTATCTACTATACCAAAATTTATTTCTGCTTTTAGATCTCATATGATTGGTTGTTTAATATGATTTGTCCAGCAGACAGATTTAGTTGTCTGAGTCTGAGTCTGGTCCGAGTCCATCCGAGTCTGAGTCCGAGGCCGGTCCGAGTAACAACACTGGTTAAGGGATAACTAAAAATAGAAAAGAATATAAATAAAAATAGAAAATTAAATATAGCCTAATTTTAGATAGTAGTGTTTGTAGTTGATTTTGCATTAGTTAATAAAATCAGTTTAGCCAGCTTAGTCAGCTGATTTTTTAAAAAATTGACTTAGTTAATTATAATAGGTTATATATATTATATTAAAAATTTAGGCCAGATTATACTAGAATCTAAAAATTTCTAGAAAGAAAATCAACAACATAAAATATAAGCAAGGTTGAAACTCAAAATTTGAAGAAATCTCTAATAACTTTTGAAATTTAATTAAATAAAACTTTAAATAATTGACTTTTGACTTAGCTAGCTAAGCCAATTTTAAATATTGACTTAGTCAAATCAATAAATAATGCAGATTTTTTATAACAATTCTTCAAAAATCTGCAAAAATATAGATTTTTGCATATTTGTACTTATTTAATTTTCCCAATGATCCCAAGTACTATTAAGAGATATTATAAAATATTTAATTATCTTTGGATATGGGTTACCAAAAATTTTTGGTTATACAAAATTTTAACCAATAGAATTAAATGTATATATAGATCGCTATTTAAATTTTAATAATTTTTTGAATTAGTGATAGTTAAGATATTTTTATTTAAAGCTTAGAAAAATTTTATTATGACTCGAATTTTAATAAATAGTGAAACACTTTAAGAAAAATAAACCCAGTGATCATCATATTTTATGAAATTATACAATTATATTATTTGTTTACTAGCACTAACAAAATTGGCCTAAACTAATGTTGTAGTCGATGTTGTTGTCCCAGATATTCATAGTGCAAGAGTTAGAAATAATGATCAGGTCATGATCCCAATTTGTATGAATAGCATAATTTAGGTATACATGAGAATTAATTAAAAGTTTAAAATAGCAATTGTATAAGTGATAGAAAAGTATATAATAATCAGTAACACAAATAGTAATTAGTAATTAATATAAGGTATCGATCCTGAAAAGAAACGTACTAAGCTTTTTTGGCTTCTTAGCTTTTAAAGGAAGTTATATTTGCTTAGTAAAAAACAAACCTAGTGAATAAACCATTACCTGTATATATACATAATCAGTGGAAGAACCTGTACAATACACAGTCTTCGATAAAAATAACCAAGCAGGTAGAGACCAATAGAAAAGACCCACTAGTACATAGTAGTTCTAGAATAACTCGTGATATAAAGACCTGGGTAGATGAAAGTTTACTCACAAAGAACTGTGTAATTTGATTGTTGGACATCAAAGTGGAGTCTTCATGAACATATTATTGAAGAATTAAAGAAACTGAAGGTTGAATTTAAAGGGCAAAGTCAAAAGTGATAGTGTTGAGAAAGTATTGATGTCTAGTAAAAGACCAACCCATGTATTGAGATGTTAGTTAGATGAATTAGGTCTGTAATTTGTGCAATTAAAGTTAAAATTAAAAAGAAAAAGTTCTAAGAATGTTAGGAGATGAAGAGCTTATCTGAAAATGGTGTATGAAAGTATAGATAGTTTGATGATTATTATTAGAAAAATCGTGAAAATAATAACTGCAGAAGTTATAACAACTAAAAATAGTACGAAAAAAAGGTGGTAACTATGGGGCCATGTCTATATTATGTATGTAGAAGACCAGGCCACTTAGCTTATGATTGTTCAGATCAAATGAAGTATAAATGATCAGAACATGATGTAGTAAATAGAAAAGTGAATACTGATGAAAGTAACAAATAGAAGAAAAGGAAAAATCTGAATAGTAAGATTGAATATATAAGGTTTATAAGGTTTGGTAGTTACAATAAACATGTGAAGAGTAATCAAATGCATGGGGAAAGTGTTGAGACAGATAAATTAAGAATAAAGAAGAAGGCAAATATTAATTCAAATAGCCAAGACAATTCAAAAATAAAAAATAAAATAAAAGGAAAAGACAAATCTAAAGGTTCTTGGAGATTTAGCTCAAATGGTAAAATAATAATAAATGATACTAATAAAACATACAAGAGTAGATCTTGCTATGGAAATAGAATTGGATTAGAAAAGGATGAATATAAAGCATCTAATTATTATAAGAAATCTGCTAATGTGAGAAGGGCTGATGGAATATATAGTATTGAGGATTGCCATCAACATGGAATTAGTATTGAAAAGGAAGAAAATAAGATATTCGAACAATATTTGGATTTTGCTCAAAGTGGTAATTTGAATAAAAAAAGAATTGATGACTTGCCAGTACTAAGTGAAGAAATAATCTGAAGAATCTGATGTTTTGAAGAAATAGCCTGAAAGATTGAACATGATGAAGAGATGTCTAATGATGAAGTTGATATAGTCAAAAGAGATAGAGATTGTGAAAATGATGATATAGTAATAACTGAGCTTGTTGTGGATAAAATTATAAACAATAAGGGATTAAATAATGAAAGGAGCAAAGATCATGACAAAGTCGTTGAGCTAGAGTGATAATGATTGACTTTGATAAAATAAAAATGTGAAAAAGAATGAATTACAACTGTTGTCCAAGTATCATTGTGATGTTAAACATAGATTTGATAATAGCGCAAGACCTAAAGTGTGAAAACTTAATGATGAAAATCCAGCGGTGATATTGAACTTGTTGGATCAAGTTAGAAAAGAAGGTTCTATGATCATATCTACTTGGATCATATAATCGGCTATTAGGAAATTGAATCAACATGTAAATAATCACATATTTAGGTTCAAGAGAAGTTAATGGTTTACTATATTGAAAGCTTAGTCAAAAAAAAAAAAAATTGCTGTTAGTGTTTGTATATAGTAATTAGTGATATGAACAATTGTTTGTATTTAATGGAACTTTATGAAATATTATTTTGCTAGGTTGTGTTGCACTAGTAAATTATTGGTTTGGATTGGAACTTTGGGGATAAAAGTTCCAGAGGATCAACATTAGTGCCCGGATATTCATAGCACAAGGGTCAGGGATCATGATCGAGTTATGATCACAATTAGCATAAATGACATGATTCAGGTATGCATAGGAATTAATTAAAAGTTTAAAATAGCAATTGCATAAGTGATAGGAAAGTATGTAATAATCAGTGACACAAATAGCGATTAGTAATTAATATAAGATATCGATCCTGAAAGGGAATGTACCAAGCTTCTTTGGCTTCTTAGCTTTTGAAAGAAATTACGTTTGCTTAGTGAAAAAATAAACTTAGTGAATAAACTATTACCTGTGTATATACATAATCAGTGGAAGGACCTGTATGATACACGGTCTTAGATAAGAATAGCCAAGCAGGTAGAGACCAATAGAAAAGACCTACCCAGTACACGGTAGTTCCAGAATAACCCATGACAACTAACTATCACTAACCTAACATTAACCCTAACACTAACTCTAACACTGACCCTAACACTAGCTCTAACCTAGACCGAACAATTTATCATGTATGTGATGATTACTGGGTTCACTGTTCTTGAAACTACCCATAGAATCAAAATAAACAAATTTCATCGAATTTAGTTTTGTGGGTGTTGAAATAATTTCGTTTAAATTTTTTAAAAAAATTTATTGTAGCTTGAATTTACTGTAATAAATGGTTTAATTTATTAACAAACTTTAAACAAAAATACCTTGACAACTACAAAACTAAATTCAATAAAGCTTTTTTTATTTTGATTCTATAACTTATGTATACTTGTAGTAGAATCTATATAAAAAAAATTTATAAAATTTAGTTTGGTGATTGTCAAGATACCTTCGTTTAAAGTTTGTTGATAAATTAAATCATCTATTAAATTCAAGCTATAGTAGAATTTTTTAAAATTTAAAAGAAGATATCTCGAAAACCACCAAACTAAACTCGATGAATTTTTTTTTTTGATTCTATAGATATGTAAAATCAAAATAAAAAAAAATTACATTGAATTCGGTTTAGATGGTTTAGATACTTCGTTTAAAGTTAAACTGTCTATAAATTAAAATTTAAACGAAGATATCTTGACAACTACCAAACCAAATTCGATAAAAATTTTTTTATTTTGATTCTACAAGCATATAGAATAAAGTAAAAATTTCATCGAATTCGGTTTGGTGGTTGTCGAGATATTTTCGTTTAAATTTTACTATGCTTGAATTTAATAAACAAGTTAATTTATTGAAAAACTTTCAAACTAAATTCAATAAATTTTTTTTATTTTGATTCTACAAGCATAATGAATCAAAATAAAATAATTCATCGAATTTAGTTTGGTGATTGTCGAGATATCTTTGTTTAAAGTTTGTTAATTAAACTGTCTATGAGATATCTTTGTTTAAAGTTTGTTAATTAAACTGTCTATTAAATTCAAGCCGTAGTAGAATTTGAACGAAGATATCTGACAACTACCAAACCAAATTCAAAGAATTTTTATTTATTTTTTGATTCTACAAGTATATTGTATAGAATCAAAATAAAAAAATATCCATCAAATTCGGTTTGGTAGTCGTTAAGATATCTTCATTTAATGTTCAACAAATTAAAACCGTCTATTAATGATAATAGAATTTTTTAAAAATTTTAAACGAAGATGTCTAAACAACCACCAATCTAAATTCGATAAAATTTTTCTTATTTTGATTCTATAAGTATATAGAATCAAAATCAAAATAAAAAATGCTCATCGAATTCGGTTTGGTGATTGGCAAGATATCTTCATTTAAGCTTATCAGCAAATTAAACTATTAAAATTCGTCATATAGAATTTTTCTAAACTTTAAATGAAGATATCTCGACTATCACCAATCTAAATTTGATGAAACTTTTTTATTTTGATTTCACATACTTGTTGAACAAAATAAAAAAATTTCATCAAATTTTGTTTGGCGAGATATCTTTGCAATAAAGTATTAAAATTTATGTAGCGATTTACATGTGCAGCTAATTCTATTGGTCAAAATTTGTGTAACCGAAAATTTTAAATTTTTTTTTATAGTAGTTTCACTGAGTTAACTGTTATTCAAGTGTCCCAATAAAATTTTTTATTTTAATTCTTTGAATCTATAGAATATAAATAAAAAAAATTATCAAAATTGGATAAGTGGATGTGGAGGTATCCTCACTCAAACTTTTTAAAAAATTGGTATTTTGATAGGCGGTTTGATTTTTCTCTAACTTTGAGCGAAGGTATCTCCACAACCACCTGATCAAACTCGATAAATTATTTTTTTTGTTTGATTCTATAAATCCATAAAATTCAAATAAACCCATTTTTATCGAATTAGGTTAGGTAGTCGTGGAGATATCTTAGCTCAAATTTTTTTAAAAAATATACATAGCTTCTATTTTGATAGACGTTTTGATTCTTCCCTAACTCACAACTACCCGACCAAATCTGATAAAAATTTTTTTATTTTAATTCATTAGTCACAGAATTCAAATAAAATTTTTTTTATCGAATTTGGTCAGGTGGTTGTGGAGATATTTTCGCTCAAATTTTTAAAAAAATTGGTGCAGCTTCTATTTTGATAGGCATTTTGATTTTTCTCTAACTTTGAGCGAAGATATCATCATAGCCACTTGACTAAATTCGATGAGATTTTTTTATTTGAATTCTAGGAATATATAGAATTCAAACAAAAAAATATCCATCGAATTTGGTCAGGTGGATGCCGATATATTTCGATTTAAATGTTTGAAAACTTTAACAATATCACGTGACTGTAAAGTCCGTAGATTTCGCGGAAAGCGAATAAATGCAAGTCACGTGAGCCGCACTTTTGTTGCATAGCTTGGAGACTGGATAGATTTTTATTTGTAATAATTTTTGTGCCCTATCGTAATAATGTTTAACTTGGGTCTTTATCTGTAAACTTTTTTTTGATTTTGGGCCCTAATTTGTGAATTCATCAAAATTTTATAATAAGTCAATTCTCTCGTTCTAACCAGCACGGTAAACCATTTCATTAAGTCCGATACAGTGAAAAATATTCACTTACTGGTTTCAACTTGACGATACACGGACAAAGAGGGTGTTGGCTAAACCGGATAAATAATCATTCAGCCAAATTGATGAGTTATCAACATCAGTCAACTTATCAATTCAATTGAAAGATCATTAAAAAAATAAATTCGTTCCAAACTTTATGTACTATACGTTTGTACGTACAGTGCAAGAAATCTAAATGAACCTCGATTAAATTAATATTACCTATACTCATTAATTTAATAACTATATATGTTAATTAAAATTAAACCATTGAGTTTTATTTGATACACGCATGTGTGATTGTCACTAGGAATGTATTATTTTGGATTAGCCTGACTCTAAAATGATTAGTCAGACATATGATGGCGTTCTAAAATAATTAAGATCTAAAAAAGTATGATTGGCAAAAATGCATAATAAGAAAACTTTAAATTGTAATTGATTTTCCGAAATAAAGATTTTTTTTTTATAAATAATCATTTACATCTTTCAAGTACGCATTTTTTTTCAACTGTTTTTTTAGAGATAATCATGCATACAGCACCCGAAGAACACGCACCTGAAGGACATGCGCCCGAAGGACATGCACCCGAAGGACACGCACACAATTCATCTGTATCGGCAGTTGAAAGGTCTCTCATATTTTCAATTATAGAAAATATTTTGCTCATAATTTACAGAGTTTTCATGAACATTTTGATATTCATAATACACGTTGTATCATACATAACTCATGAACTCTTGCAATCGCCTGGAATCACAACTTCACCGTACTATTTATCCGCATCTATCTTAGTAGATGAAAAATATGAACCAGTTTTTAAATTTCTTTTAGTAGAATTATCACCAGTTATAACAATATTATATCCAATAATTTCTTATATGCTTCCATATGATATTTTAAAATCGTTTGATGATGATCTTGCGATAACGATACTTTCACCTGTGATACTTCATATAAAAAAACCCGAATATCATTATCAAGGAATAACTGATTCAATGGCTTCAATAGTAAATAGTAGTTATAAGTTATTTCACACACATTATTATGGTGTAACTGAAGAAGAAGAAAAAAAAATAGTTGAATCACCTATGTTTAGAAAGATGAAATATGAAATAGAATTAGATGAAGATTTTGTTCATTCTATAGATATTTCTTCCATGATTCCAGAAACTTTAATGAATACATATCAACGTTATGCAGAACCTGAAGAAATGGATAGAAGTTTAATGAGAAATTCAAGATCAGGTGAAGCAATAGAAGAAATTGTAACATCATATGAGAAACACCCAGTACATCGAAAGCATCCAATCTCAAAACGATCAATAACAATTCAAAGTCCATCTACTTATCGTTTAGTGAGAGAAAATTCAATTGTTAAAAAAGCATCAGTTAAAATAAGTAAAAATGATTTACTTATGACGATACAAGAAACAACATTATTAAAACCAAATAACTTTGAACCTTGGCGTTTAATTTATGCATTTATCGTATTTCCACTTTACATTATAACTGTAATTCCATTGAACTTTATCCTTTACTCATCACTAGCCATATCTACAGTTTATTTACTTGGACAACAATGGCTTGCTGAATGTATTATGATACAAAATCCGATTAGAAGACGTCAAAGAGAAAGATATTATAAATTGAGAATAGTCGGATTAACAACGTTTTTTGGAATGATGTTGTGTATATCACCCATAGTATTATTTTTTATGGGATTTAAAACAGTTTATATTGCTATAACTGAATCTATTGAAAATTGTATTTATTTCAGTTTTAAGATGGCTGTTGGGTATTCACCGAAAGAACACCATCATCATAAAGATGAAAGTTATGTTAAGCATAATAAGATGGATAAAAAATAATGAAAGAATTTTCTCTTTTATTTTTTACTTATTTCATAAAGTATTGTGATACAGTAAAACGCTCTTATCATTATATTTGATTATATAAATTTATTACACTATCTAAATAGCATGTTTTTTTTGTTTTTTTTTTAAAAGGAAACAAAGTATTTTTCGACTGACAATATTAATAAGTGATATATACAATACTTTAAATGAGTAAAAATACATATAGCGAACATTTCAGACAACTAATTAATTTTTCGACAATTCCTAATTCTACTTTATGCAATTAATTTTTTATTTAGTAGTAGTATTCATTACATTTTCCACAGACAATGTCAGCGCAAGCAATTCTTGCCGCAGGGACACCAGGAGCTATTAAAAAAAAAAAAAGTTATAATTATCTTAACAATTGTTTTAGTGATGTCTAACATTTTAAGGAATGAAATCATAATGTAACGTACGAGTATGAGGAGCGTGAATAACAACCGATCGACCAATAACTCCATATTCACCTCTCAATGTAATGAATGGATCTGTATACTCGTCTTCAACCATGCCACTTGGTGTTCCTCGAAGCGCACCATATTTACCTATTCCATGATTATCATATGTGAATTCGATGATTTTTTTTTAATTGAAAAATATTTAGTGGTTTAAAATATCTTACCACTTAAATCACCAGCTTCACATTCTTCAGGTATTTCGGGATTGCATTTGTAACCTTTTACTTTACCAACACCTATTGAAACGACACCAAGACAAATTAAATAAAAATTTAGTTATATCAAAATATAAATATATATATATATTTTCATATAGAATTTATTTCGTTACCAATAGGATCTAAGTGTTCTCCCGTTGATTCGCAGGAGCCAGTATAATTTATTGGAAATTCGTGAACATGATAAGGGTACATTCCGGAAGTATCGGTCAAGCCGCCAGTAATCTTAACTTTAACTCTGGTTTCGTAACCTTCTTCAATAAAAGTAATGATTCCCGTGATTCCTCGGTATTTTCCTGTGAAACAGGCTGAAGCCATTTCATAACATTGTACAGTATTTAGGAGATAAAAACTAATGAGAACGAGTAAAGCGAATTTTATCATGTCGAATTTAAGTGTATTGAGAGAAAAAAAAAGAAATAAAGCGAAAAAAAATACATATATTTGGCCATTTAAATAAGAATTTTAAAGATGCCGCGTACTTTAATTATAGGTATCCGTCGCATAATCACAATGCACATTTAATGTTGACAGGACACTACAGCAGCAGATCATATATAATTCTTAGTTATGTGTCGTGCGATCAATTGTTTTAGAATTATATCTAATTATAGCACGGGGGTGCGTGTTATTAAGTAACATTTGCGGTATGGTACGTACGTTTTTATTTGACAGCATTAGCGATGTCAACTTAATTGGATTTAAGTGTTAAAATAATTACAAGAAAATATTATTTTTTAATAATTACAAAAATTGCAGTAACACGTAAAAATTTAGATATATCATATGATCAATTTAAATTATTCGTGATAAATTTTTTCTTTGAAATCTCATTCGTAGTTTATATTTAATAGATGTATGCTTTTATCGTACATAGTTCAGTAATCTGGATAACTTTTCTTTACCTTGTAGTATTATCGGCCTTAAAAAAAATTAACTATATATGATTTCAGCTTTTAAATAAGCAAATTGTTATAATTAAGTTGACATCGCTAGACGGCCCATGTTACAATTAGATATCTTAAAAATGCTTGATCGCACTGCCATAAAATATCGATATTATTTGTAACATGTTTACTATTAGTTTAACGAAGGTATTTGACATTAAGTCAAATTTACCTATGTTATTTTTGAAAGAAAATTTTCACCAACCTCCTTAAAATTTAAAAACTTTTTAATTAATTAATATATATAAATTTGTTATTTTTGGTTGATCATAAAAAAAAACAAAAATTTCCAACGAAAAAAAAAATCTTGAAATTTATGTACTCTTTACATTTTTAAGAGAGTACAACCATCCTCCCATACACTCACACAGTTGGGCATATAGTAATTTTTTAAAAATGTGCTTATAAAGGAGTTGTGCTTATATGGATGTTTTTTATTATAAATTAAATCATAGTTTGATCTATGTGATTATGTGGGAGGTGACTATATATGAGGGTCGGCTGTATATAGTAAAGTAGTACGGACATGTGAAAGTACGTACGTACGGTTTTTAAAAGAAAATCTCACGAAAAAACAATCTATTTTTCTATAATCTCACCCAAGCCTAATACATCAGGAAAATTTAAACCCTGATTATGATCGGTTGCAGGCAGTTAATCGATTATAATCGATTAATTTTAAGTGATTATTAATTTAAATCAAAATCAATAATAGTCGGTTATGATCAAAAGCGATTAAATTAAATTGATTATAATCGATTAGTTTTATTATAATCAATAAAAATCTTTATCGCGTGTAATCGGTGGGGGTGATAATAATCGATTAAAAATCATCAGATTTATTATAATTAATAAAAATCTTTATCGCGTGTAATCGGCGGGGTGATAATAATCGATTAAAAATCATCAGATTTTAATCGACTACAAAAGTTTTCAAAATTTCCCGATGTACAAAAAAAGACATTAGTAGTATTTTCCCTAACTAACCATTAAAAGGGGATACTTACAAACTTAAATTTTTGCAGGTCCACATATCATCAAAAATTTAACATAATTTTCATACATCCGTCCAAATCTGTAGTGCTGTACAGTACTATTTTACTGAATATCTTTTTTAAAAAATCTAGTTTTAAGAAAAAAATCGCACCTGACGTACGTACGTACGTGCGTGTGTGCGTACATACAGTACAGTACATGGGTATCTACTATCAAGGGGTTCTTTGTAATTCTTAAATAGAAAATCTAGTTCAAGTTTTCAAAAATAGCAAAGTCGAATTATTCTTTTATGTGATTTGAGCGAATTCAAACATAATTTCTCACTCGAATCGTCTAGATAAATAATCACTATTTGCCTATATATTCCACAGTAGCGTTTAACTTCTCTTCTCAATGAACTAGGAGTTCCTCCAAATTTGGAGCTTCTTTAGGAATATATCTTACGCGAGATATATCTAGCACGTATAAGTGAACGCGTCAGTAATAAATTTACGATTTTACTATTCGTAACAAATTGTCTTGAGAGATGAGTGACGTAATCGAAAGCTCTAATTTGCACCCTGATTACTCGAACCTAGGGATGGATCGGTCTTCGTAAAGACCGGGACCGGACGATAAAAGACTGAGGACCGAATAATTCTCAGTCCTCGGTCTGGAATCGTCCGGTCCTGGTCCTGATTATGGTCTAACGATGACTAATACTACTGATAAAAAAGCCGATAAAGAAAACAACGCAAATAATAATAATAATACCGTATAGTTCCGAAATTAAGCACCCCCGAAATTAAGCACCATCAAATTTTATGTAATATCCGAAAATAAGCACC